ATATATATATATATATATATATATATATATATATATATATATTTGCACATCTCATTCTAGTTTAAAAGTAAACTATACAGAATATACATTTTTGTTCATGTTGTCACTTCCAGCTGGAGAACGGACAGCCGTGGATGAATCCCGAGGCTCCCGCGACGAAGAACTGCGACAACTTTGGAACAGAGCGCGACGTGGCCAACTGTCCGTTCTTCCTGAAGACCGGGGCGTGTCGATTCGGAGACAGGTACTATTTCGTTCTCTTCTGACGTGACTCGCTACGTTAACTTCACAAACACATTATTTCAGTGGCGATTTGAATGGATGCACAGGCGCATTGACGAAGTCTTTCCTCATATTTCTGTATATTCTCCCCTCTTCTCTGTCTTTTTGATTCCAGATGCTCCCGGAAGCACGTTTATCCCGCAGCCAGCCCGACCCTGATGATCCGTGGTATGTTTACAACGTTTGGCTTGGAGCAGTCACGCCGCGATGATTACGACATCGACGCTTGTCTGGAACACAGCGAGGAGGAGCTGCAGGAGACTTTCCTCGAGTTCTACCATGACGTCCTGCCGGAGTTAAAGAGCGTCGGCAAGGTGGTGCAGTTCAAGGTAAGATGACGTTAGGACAGTCGGTGTGTTAAGCATGCACTCAAGTACCCAAATTACAGTCAGCTTTCTGAAGTAATCCATCTTGTTAAACTAATATACTTCAATAAGTAAGACATTAGAGATTTCACAATGCGGTCAGTGTAGAGGAGAAGTCTGGTCCACCACTTATTTAAAGTGCTTAATCTGTTCAATAAAGTCAATATGAAGTAATATTTGTTTTTCTTTTACCAGGAAATGAAATAGTATAAATGTGTCAATAGATCTCTTACTGATGCCTGAAAGAATCTACTGTTGCATGATCAAATTATTACCACTAAAAATACACATCTGGTTTCATTGACGTCTTCTTTTAGGTCAGCTGCAATTATGAACCTCACCTGAGAGGAAATGTTTACATTCAGTTTGACACGTAAGTTTTCGCACAACTGCTCCACGACCTTTTCCCAAATATAAGAAACTGTACGGTGTTTGAAAACTCTGCGTTGTGTTCCTCTTGTCCGTCTGTCCAGAGAGGAGCAGTGTACAGAGGCCATCATCAAGTTCAACGGGAGGTGGTACGCAGGCCGGCAGCTTCATTGTGAGATGTGTCCTGTTACCCGGTGGAAGAATGCTATCTGTGGTGAGTTATTCTTACCGATGCGAGAGCGGCACTTTCACTTGCACAGCAGAGATACAAGATTCAGTCCGTCTTCTATCTCGTTTGTGTCTTCCCCAGGATTGTTCGACAGACAGAAGTGCCCCAAAGGGAAGCACTGCAACTTCCTGCACGTGTTCCGGAACCCTGGCAATGAATTCTGGGAGGCCGACAGGGACCTGCACCTGTCGCCAGACCGCAGCGTCAGGGGGAGTCGCAGAGACGGGTGGCATTCGGAGCGATACGGAGACCGATCGTGGAGGCAGCGTCAGTGCAGCAGGAGCCCGCCGAGGTCCGAGAGATCCCACAGCAGACGGGACGACGACAGGCGGAGGAGCAGAGAGAGGAGGGCCTCCCAGCGGTCATCCAGACACAGTGACAGGACCAACGATTGGTGTCTGAGCAGGAGCAGAGACAGGTCGAGGAGCCGGAGTAGAGACAGGGAGCAAGACAGGCCCAGAAACAGGAGTAGAGATAAAGACAGGGAGCACAAGTATAGGAATAGAAGTGAAGAGAGAGACGGCAGAGACAAAGATACAGACACGAGAGACAGGTCGAGAAGCACAAGCAGAGAAAGGAAGAAAGAAAGTAGAGAAAGGAGACCCAAGAAACCAGAGAAAATAGAGAAACCCCTTAATGAGGATACCAACACACGCCGGCGCCACAAACAATCCAAAAAGAGCAAGAAGAAGAGCAAGAAGAAGCACAAGAAGAAAAGCCATTCGCCTGAAGGGACGGCCTCATCTGGAGAGTCCGAAAAGGAGAAAGAGTCGGAGGAAGAGGCGTTGGCAAATCTCACTGCAACGAGTCCCGGTCAGGAGATAAAGGAAACGGAGCTAATTCAGAAAAACAATGACTTGGATGAGAGTCCGTGTGCTGACAGTGAGAAGTTTAGTCCCGAGGTGGAAAGTGAACAGTCTTAAACAGAAACACCCGGTGAGCCTGCTGGAAAAGGTGACACGAGTCGGTCTGAGTGGCTCCTACATTTCAAAAAGCTGTGAATTTGCTCTGGCTTTTCTCTTTTTAACTTTAACTGTGTGAGTGTTTGGAGCCTTGATGCAGTGAGATAGCACCCGTCAGTGTGTACATATGTGAATATTTAGCTTTTGGAAAACGTTGCTTTAATAATTAAACGTGATCACTGGAGCTGCTGCACTACTTGGTTATTGTTGCTGAGTAAAAGCTATATAAAAACAAAAGAGCAACAAATGGGGTTTCTTTTTTTTTTTGGATACATTTATTGTTAATAACTTTCAAATATAAGGAAAAAAAAGTTGGCAAATGTGTTGGCAGTGGTTAATACAAAAAGTGATCTCTTTTGCACAAATTAAAGATGAACCATAATTACTTATGAATGTTCAACAAAAACACTTTGTGGTTTTAAGAATGCAGATAAAAAGTTTGGATGAGCTTCTGTTCATCACTTGTTGGGCTCGTTTTCCTGCTGACAAGTGAACGAACCGACAGTGATGAATATTAATGACCTACCCTGATATGTGCAGTTCATATTCTTTCGTTCCGACTCCATAAAGAAACTGGAGATGGACCTGTCTCCTAACGGATAGGAATAATTACATAATACTGGTATATTGTGGCCGAGTAATCCCCACATGTTTTGTCAAACACCCTGCAGTTCTAAATCCCTTTTTCTGCCATGTTAGCTTTCCATAGACACCATAGAGCCGGTAAAACACAGTGTTCTTTGGTCATGTGTTAGGCTTAAAGACTTAAGTATCACAATACATAAAATAGTTTATTTTGTTTTGATCACTACCTATTCCTGACTTAACACTAAGCGGGTTTATTTTTTTCCCAGGAAAATAAGTCAATTGACAGAAAAGTTTACGACACGATGACAATTTCAACAAACATGACACCAGTGACAAACAGCTCACGGTTACCCAAAGGTAAACATTTTAGTTTAGAAAAAGAAATGGTTAATTTCTGGAGAGGAATCACCAAAACCTACAGATCATGTACGCCGATACTGATCATGGGTAATTGTTTCATTTCACTTCGGTGGTGGGTTGAGTTGACCCGTGTCACTATGTGATATTGTGATAGTGATTGTAAACGTGTCAGTGAAGCTGGTGCTTCTCATGTATTACCGTTACACGAGTCACGACTGACAAAAAATAAATATACGACCGTTTGAAACAAAACAAAAACGGGTCATTTAGTAACACTTGCTGCTGTTCTGAAGGTATTTCTAGAGTCCTCAAAGACTCTCTTAAGCGTCTGGATAAAAAAAATATTCCATTCACCACATGATAAATACAAAACTCATTTCCCAAACTGTGCCTCTCCCCTAATCCAAAACAGTCCGAAATGACATATGCTCTTGCTCATATTGTCAATGAACCAAACTTAAACCTTTTATTAGTTATCCTGTTAACTACTGATGGTTCTTTGCCAGATTTATATTTAATGAAATAATGCTTTAATATTTTGCTCTTGAGAAACAAGGTAAAAACCTGTTTTTTATGTGTGCAGAGGACAGAATCAGTTTCGAATGATGATTCGGACGCTTAGCTCCAAGACTCAAATGTGAAGGTTATACATACAGAAGAAGCACCTTTAAAAAGTCCTCGTAAGCCAAACAGCACATGCAAGCCTGCAATCGGCGGTGATGGATCTCTTAATATGATGCTGCAGTTTTCATGTCGTCGCTACATTGTACTGTGTGGAGTTTTAAGAAGTGACGTTATGCTAACAGTACTGCAGAATACAGCGAGGGAGATTGTACATAGGAGACACATTCAAACCACAGTTGGCACCAAATTAAAAAGGGCATTACTGGATAGTACAGAACAGAGCAATACAGCACATAGGTGGGGATTATATACACACACAACACTGACACGGGGGGACAACAGGAGAAGACGGGATGGAGACGTGGAGGGGTTGCCAGATCTGCAGCCGGGAGGAGGAACAGCACGGTGACTTATGTCAGCCCAATTTCTTCTAAAACGCTCCGTGGTGCCTCGGCCTCCTGCAGACGAAGAACAGAAAGAGAAATGTTCTTTGCTGTTGTACATTTTGTAGTGCACCTACAAAGTCAAAATTCAAAGCACACGAGTCCTAATGTGTGACGGGAACAGGGAGCCCTTTTCCAGTGAGCCGTGCAGTTATAACAACAGTACTACATGCCTTACTATAAATAAATCATTCATTCTGCCGACTGCAAATAACTACAGCAAGACAGAAACGCAAACATGCAGGACTGCACTTGCTTTAGCTCACGGACTCAAGGGAGAGAGAGGGGTATTAATCAAGCGCTGCAGGCTCAGAATAAACGGGTGGCGTCAGGTGTAGAGGGCAGCGGGGTGAAAGAAGCAATCCAACATTTACGATCTGCCCTTCTGTGTTCCACGTTAGGATCCCTGAGAGAAGTTAATTCTTCATTTACACCAAGTTAGAGGTGCAACGGTTACTTGATCGACAGAAAATGTATCGGCAGCAATTTTGACAAACGTGTTCAAATAATCTTTGAAGCTAAAATGTCATAAATTTGTCAAGATTTAAATGACAGTAAAGTGAATACTTATTTGGGGTTTGGAGTGTTGGACGACCAAAAACAAGTAATTTGAAGACATCACCCTGGGCTCTGGAAGCTTGTGATGGCTATTTTTCCTCAATTGTGAGACATTTAACAGACCAAAGGCAGCAGGTTGATTGACAGATACTGGTCTCCTGAGACCAGGTTGGTCTGTCTAGTGGGTTCAACCATATGCTGATGAAGAAGTGTGCGTACCTCCTGCAGCAGGTCGGCCTGCTCGATGGCCTTCAGCACGTTCTTCTTGGACGTCTCCTGGGCCTCTCCGCCCAGCAGGAACTCATCCAGGATGAAGTAGGCCTTCTCAAAGTTGAAGATGATATCCAACTCGCACACCTGTGAAGGCCACAAACAGCAGCGGATCAGAGGAGATCCTCACCCGATTCTCGCAGCACTATCAATCAGCACGGTACATGTGGTGTTTGAGAGACTCACGCTGCCAAAATATTTGTCCAGCAGCTCCACGTATCGATGGATGATCTCCAGGGTGATCAGCTCATTATCCTGATCCTCGACCGCACAGCAGAAATACAGGCTCGCGTATCTACAGCATAAAGCGAGGAGATGAAAGATTACCGCGGCGGTGATGTGGACAGATATTAGTGCTTCAGCTCTTCAGAAATGCAACATATCAGTGTGTTTAATTTAGTTAGTGGTAATTTAGCTGTGATCACTGTCCAGAATATATGTATGTATATGTGTATGGTCTTTAAAGAGGAAAATATTTCTGCATTCAGGTGTTTGGTGCTGTTCTGTATCACAGAAAGTCACATTAGATAAAAAAAATAAATAAAAAAATGCTTTTCCATATTGTTTATTTTCCATGTAAGACACCTGTAAATCCCAAATATAAATGCAAAACAGCTTTAAAATCCCTTATATTTACTTTGAATGACAAGTGTATCTTAAAGGTTTTATGGCTATGTCATTGTGTAATTGGCATAAATAAACCAATAAAACCATCAGTTTTTAAACAAGTCTGCCACTCATACCATCACATCAATTAGACTTAAAATAAATAAGTTTGCTTGTTTGTCTTTGTTGATGAGTCTTTTGATTATCATATTGGACACATGGCGATGTATTGTATTTTCATGACTCAGCGGTCATACGTCCAGGACTAATCAGGCACTCCTCCTGTGTTTGAATCAGTCCTCAATTGTTTGGCAGTCGTTATTAGAGAGGGGGTGTTGCTGGCTTTCATCACACACCAGAAGGTGAGATCTAAATGCCACAAATCTCAGTGCAAAATAATCACTGAAACATTGGTTTTCACAAACACCCCCAACAAGCCACCGCAGATGGCCAACAACGAACACGTCCTATTGCTAAGATCATCCTTAAGACATGCCTGGCATAAGACATTTTACGTTAAAAGTTTAACAAAATAATGAAGGACCTTAAGGCCCACTTGCTACCTTTCAACGATATCTCACAGTCATCATCAATCAACAGAGGAACCCCATCTGTGCAGTACCTCCCCCAGATACCACCACCTGTTATCATGTCGCTGAAGATCTATCCATAAGTCACATTCATATTATAACAACTAAACCATCTCCACAAATACTTCGCAAACTCCATCTGCTGATGAAGACCATGAGATGCAGATGAAAGCTCTGGAAGACGGTAGTAAGTAGACCTGGAGTTGAAATTAATATTTCCATAGTCAGGAATGAACTTTAACACCCAGCATGTTAAAGGTAGCTGCAATATCTCATGATAAGCAACTCTTAACTGCCGTTAAGAAGGGAGTTTCATAGTAAAGTCACAGATGAGAGGAGTAGCAACCCTGAAAAAAACCCAGAGAGACCCAAGCTTGTGTTGACAGCCTCATTCAGATGATCTCTGCTTGCCCACGTGTTTACTGCATGTACTTCCAGGCAGAATGTAAACTTCTCTTACTCACTTACCTCTTGTACACAATCTTGAGGTCCCTCCACTCCAAGAAGCTGCACATCTTGGGCTTCCTGGCCAGTATGGTCTGGACCAGGTCTCTGGAGATCTTCTTCCTCTCCTTGTCAGACAGGGGCACGTACCATTTCTGTAAGCGCAGCTTTCCCTGCCGGCTGAACAACAGCATGAACTGCATCTGAGAGAGGAAGTTCAATTTAAAGTTATCCGTGGTCGAGATGAGATAAAGACACATTGTTTGTAGAGAAGGAAGGAGAAGATAAAGCCATAGAGGTAGAGGGACGGTGGTACGTAATCAGCCATCGTGACACGTATGGTGTGTTTTTATATTATAAGAAAGTTAATCCAGCACATCTAAGTTAACAGAAGAATGAACAAGTAACGGCCCAACAGGAAATACAAGCATTAGTGGATGATACGAACTAGTCGCCTGGTCAAATGTATTTTATATTTGCTCAATTTTACGTCCAGGAGGCTTTGGCACAAAATTCCATTAGCTTGTGTTGTCTATCCTAACCGTGCTAAACGGCCACATATCAACATCATTAACACGTTACGCGTACTGTGTGCCCCCTCCCGCGACGCCCAGCTAGCGAACACGAGAAATAAACACGACTCTTTACCTTCGACCGGGCCTTCGATTTAGTCACTTGGACGACTGTTAACCTCAGTAAATTCAAGAGCAATACATAACCAAAGAGAGTGCAGTAAACAGATGTTCCGGTGTCTCTGTAGCTTAGCTTCTCCTCCAGACTGACGCTAAACTAGCTAGCGGATGGTCGTTGCTGGTGAGGCAACGATGAAGTCAGCAGCGCTGTGATTGGCCGAAAAAGCCACAGCTCTGGGATTTGATTGGCTTAAAGATTCCGTTATTCTATCCGATATTCCTCCACACAGCTTTGCCTTCCTGTGGCGGGAAGTCATTTTCACTTCTCTTCGGTAATAATTACCTGAAAATGTTTTGAGTGAATCGGAATTTAATGCTAGTGTTGAACTCTACTGCATTTATTGAACTGCTGGATAGTTTGCATGTAAATAAAAAAAATGTAAACCATAAGATATGATGCATTGCTGTACAATTAATAAAGAGACAGCGAGAGTAACTGCTGATAGTGGCTGCCGAGCTGAGCCGAGCCGCATCTCCTGAGAACACCCATTGTTGTTACGACAGGTCAGCTGCCGTAAATTAGTTTTATGATTTTAGTTGAGTTGCCTGAGCCCCCGTTCTCTGTATACATCCTTAGAGTAACCACGTTGTACTTTTTTGTTTCTCATTCATTTTATTTAAGTATGATTTTGCTGGTTTTAAAACAAAAAGGAACAAAATACACTCATTCCAAATTATTTATTACTTTTATAGACATTTACAACAATCGGTTAAAATAATGAAAATAAATCATCCGTTTTATTATAATTAAAAAATAGATGAATACGTTCAGAAAAAAAGTCCAATCCAAAAATAAAAGATTCCTCTGCTTATATGTAGGTGTCAGTAGGTGCCACGAGCTGCCAGTGCCAATAGTTGTCACGGACTGCCACCACTAGTCAGAGGAGTGGGCCCCCCTGGGCCCCCTCCTCTTCTTTTCACCTTTCTTCCAGTAATTGAAAACACAACTTCCACTTACATTTTATCAAATCACGTTTTTTTTATTGACGTGACTGGGGTGTCATTTTTCTAAATATCTTCTTAATTTCTTGGGTTTCATTCTGTCAGCTGAGCATGTTGTCTTGTTCGTCTCGGACTGCCACTAGGTGTCAGACGATTGCCGCTCAGAGGACTGCCACTGCAGTTGTCAGAGGATTATGTGATGGTGAACAATTCAATATTAGTCAAAATTAAGTTACACATTACAGCAAAAATATATGCTGAATCAATAAACTGCAGTTGTCATGGGTGTGAACACAAGAGGCATAGAACCAGAAGCAGAGACAGCCAGGAAACAGGGTTGACAGAACCTGATTGAGACCGTTATGTGAAACAGAGTTAACAAAAGAGACGAGATACGTTAACTCCAGCCAAACTCTTTCATTTTTCATTTTCATTCATTTTTCTCAAATCAAGCACTTTCTTTTAAGATGCAAGTTTTTCAAAAGTTCTCTTTTGTGTATTTTATTTTTAGATAGAGCACTTATTTTACTTGAAATGAGAGAACATTTATCTATGTATTTCTATGTATTATTTATAATCCATCCAGTTACATTTGAAAACTGTGAATAATAATTGTTAAAATAGAATTGATGTGTACTTTCTTTATTTGATTTGACAGTTGTTGACTCATATTCAAATGCTAATATATTGCATCCCGTGTACTGTATGGTAACTATAGACACACCCAAATCTCACCTGCACCTGAGTTTGGGAATTAGTCAATTGATGGATTTAAGACCTTAGAACAGTTTTGAACTGAATTATTTGGTGGATAATAGTTATTAAGACAAATAATAATAATAAGTCTTTCTATTAATAATTTTTTGTCTGCGTGGCACATTTCACTGCTCCGATTGGAAGAAAAGATTACCCAATTTGCATTTTACTACTATGAATTTTTACGATGTAGGCTACTATACTATAACGTTTTTTATGACTTTTTTATGACAATATACTTTGACTTTATTCAACATGCTGTGACTTATTTATGACTTTATTCGACATGCTAAACTACTTATATAGACGTATTTATGACTGAGAGGATTAGAGCTGTAACAAGTGGTTTCAATAACCACAGATAAAGTCCTGCACACAAATTTCTCTTTTTAGAAGATAAGAATATAATATTGTGGCTTTTTTGGGTGACACGACTTCACACCTGAATGAACTGAATTTAAAGCTGCAGGTCAATTCAGTTCATCTTTCTAAAATTAAGTACTTTATTTTAAGGTTTACCATTTTTAAAAGCTTTCATTTATGTATTTTATTTTTTCATCCAGTCCATATTTTAATTTATTTAAATTCATGTATTTGATTATTAATTATAATTCATCCAGTTCAATTTTAAAACTGTCAATAAATATTGTTGAGATATTATTCAATTGCACTTTCTATATTTGATTTGACAGTCAGTTGTTGACTACATGCAGACGTTAATACAACTGTTCGGCTACTTCAATACATATGGTACTAAATCATTGCGCAAGTTAGACATTATGTCATTAACAACATTAGTGATGTTCCGGACCTTGCGAAATTCTCTCGAAATGGACCTTATGAAAATAAGCTTAACAAAGCTTGTGTCAGTTGCAGGGCTTTGTATTGTATTTGATTAGAGACACAGGTGTCAGGATATTGTGTTTGATCTCTATAACAAGCCTGCCAAAAATACCCAACCTGGCACCCCCGAGAGGCCACAAATAAATGGCCTAAAAAAACCCGTCTGTGTCCAAGGTGCTGAGCGTTATTATGACGATTATTACTGGCTATCGTCCTTCACAGTATATGAAATATTGCTGGAAATTTCTCACACCGGCCATCTGCGCTGTAAGTAAATATGTTCAAAGTTCAAAAGATGTTTCATATACAGATATACATTCATACTGGTTGTTGATTTTCTTGATTGTGTTATTTCTCTGCACAGTGCACACTGGTCCTCTTTCTGATCAAGTTCACACCACTCAAGTACAACACCTACCAGTACCCCTGGTGGGGTTATGCTCTCGGGATATTATTTGCTTTCTCCTCAACTGCCCTTATTCCTCTGTGGGTGACTTACATTTTGACTGCAACACCTGGCACTCTGAGACAGGTAATGTAATTCTGAGTTTCCTTCAGAGTTTTCTTGGGAAATATTTGTCTTCCTCATCTACTAAGCCATTATATGTTTACACTGCCCTAGCAGCAGAAGCACAGCTGTATCAGAGAACGTTAACGTTTCCCTCCCTCCTCTCAGAGGCTGAAAGCGTTGTGTTCTCCAGCAAACCCAATCGGTCCGTCACCAGACAAGAGTCACAGGCATCAAACACCTGAGGCCCACACAGAGCTGTGCTTCAGAGGTGAATGAAAGGCATATATGTAAACAATTGGAATCAAAATAAAACTCAACAAGTCAAAAAATAGTATAAACTCCAATTAAACATATAAAAACAACATACGAATTTACCTACAAATCAATAAGTAAATATGGTACCATGCTGACTTATGGAAAGTGACATTGGGATTGGGCCAAAGACTCTGAAGAGAGAACCAATTAGAGCTGATCAACTGGCAACCCAGCCAATAAATGTTGAGATTATTCAGTCTGGACTAAAGTGATGGACCGACGCACCAACATTGCCATTCCTATAAGCACTAGATTTGACAGAAAGACCACCAACCATCAACGACTGATGTATCTATGATATGACCACCACCTGTGGATCGTCTGTATAATCCCCCAGTGGTTGGCTGCCTGTAGACATAACACATTATTAAGGCGTTTTATCTACAGTCTGGCAGTCTCTCACATCTCAAACCCAGATAACTGCAAGGGATGGGACGGCAGACGTCCTGCTGTATTAAAGCAGGAGATGTGATAGAGATGAAGAAGAGGGAATTGTGCTCACTGCCATGAGAGAAACCTCCTCATGTGTCAACTGTGACTATACTTGGTTATCAGTTATGACCATGTTGACAACACACTTCCAGAGAAATGTATGGTTGCAGAAAAAAAGGAAGAAAGAAAAAAATATACAGACATGTATTTGAAATGCTTTCCCACATTTGGAGTTAATTTATCTATAACCATAATACTTCAAGCTTTTCTATACTCTTTACTCACACTTCCGTAGAAGGGTTTAGACCCCTAATCGAATATAATCAAATCACATCACTGCTGATTTCATTTTCCATAGTGCTGGCATAAAATATTGTAAGGCCTTTAAGGCCCCTGATCTTTGTGCTGCTTTGAGTCCCTCCTTGTTACTCTCTATGCAGCCAAACAGCAGGGCTTCTTTCCAGCTCCCACCTGTTTCTTTTCCCCCCGATTGACAAGACAAACCCACTCTGGCCACTCACCTAGTGTGCCCTTTAGTCAGAGAATGACAAAGCTATGTGAAGCGGCGGTGAAACCTGCCCTCTTTTCTGCTTTGAAATATGTACAGTATATTGATTATGGGCAGCACAGAGAAAGTATTTTTTCTGTAAGGAGTCATCCATTCATCACTAAGTATTTTTGTGCAGCTGCAGTCACATCCATTGCTACATAAGGCAAATCTTGCATGTTTAAAAAGAGCAATAGCCACTTGTGAGGCTGTAATGTAGAAACAATATTGATCTTCATCTTATGCACAAGGACACACCAGGTCATGATATGAATATACATCATTTAACTTTCCATGCATTATCTTTCATTTTACTATTTAATGTGAAAAATAAATGCCATTGAAGCGTCTTTAATGGAAAAAACAAAAAAAACAGAACATGACAATTTCATTTTTGGAACTCTGCTGCTTCCTAGTGGACTGATGAGGCAAAAACTCCTAAAGTGCAGCATACAAATGCTAACAGTAGAACCGTAGCTACACCATGCAAAACATAACGGGTCACTGCATCTGAGTGCTTTTTTTTGTTTCTTGTTGTAGACGGAAGTTGACATTGGGGAAATTGAGATTTCTAATTGTAGATTGTTATCCATTTTATAACATTTTCCAATTCAACCTCCATTGAGCCCCATTAAAGGGTACTTTTTCTTTATTTAGTTTTGCACTCATTGGGTGATGGGTGATGAGTGAGATCAAAAAAATAAATTGCCTAAATTGAAGCAACAGAGGCCAATATGTCCTGACTTCCTGTGGTTAAAGGGCTATGTCCTTTCTAAAAAAAATATACCCACAAAAAACATGATTCTTTATCTGACATTACCAAGTGTACAGCTAATTAGCAACAAACATATGCTACAAAAGTAAATTCAAACATAGATATGAAAACAACTTAAACCCTTTTTGAGATCTCTTCTTGATTTATCGAATCGTCATTTTGTTACACTGTACTACACAAAATACATTTTTGAGTTATCTCTACTTCTAGCCATGGTTGTCCATAGAGGTGCAGGACTTATTGCAGTGAATATCAAGGCCACAGCGAGAAAAATGTGACAGGAGTGAAACACGGCCCGAAGCTGCTTGGGGTTCAGAGTGTGCCAATGCGTCAATACGACCCACATAAGGAAACGAGACCTGCAGCGGGTATATTGGCTATTGCTATACAGCAATTCTTAATGTCTGTCATCGGGTCAGATTCCCAAAATCAGACACAACTATTTACAGGATGCAGGTTCACCAGAAACTGCCTTAGCACGGACTCCAGCTTCTGCTGGATTCTTCTCGGTGAAGAAGAGGTTTGATTTAACAAGACGGGCAAGATCTCTTCTCACTAGCATGCAAGTTGATTTGAATATATTGATTGTGAGGCAGAGCTCATTTATCTTCTCATCTGACTCTCGCCCACCTCTCCACCTCTCTCTGCCAGTCAGTTAGTCAGTGTTGCAGACAGCACACACATCCTCAGCGCTGAGATGCAGATTGATACGGGGGTTCGGGCAACATAAGTGGGTGTAACTGGCAGGATCTGATTTCAATGCCAAACACACCACTCAGGGCTGTAGCAGACACGCTCCATTTCTGCTGCTGTTTCAGTCAAGCAAGAAGAATTTTTTGCTTCATGTGAAGCAATGATATGTCTGTATTTCATATTCCCACCGTAGAAGAAAAGGGGAGATGTTCCAGCATAATGCAAAACACACTTTTTTACACATTCACATATACCGTTTATAACAGTGATTGTAAAATGACACAGAGGGAAATGTCTATAGTTTCCAGGATAACTTTATTCTTTGAAACTACAGTATTGAATTAATAATACATACACACACACACACACACACACACACACACACACACACACACACACA